CCGGCGCAGTGCAGCAGCCGGCCCCTTCCCGCTCCGCAGCCACCATTAGGGCCGGGGTTTGCACAGCGTAAGAGAAGCTCGTCTTTACGCGGGGAGGTGGAATTTAATGCCCCTGCCAGAGGTGGTTCGTGTTTCTCGAGGAGGATGATGATCTCCTTAGATTTGAAGGAGGTGAGGCAGATAAATGTCAGCTACTCGTTGCTGTAATTATTAAAATACGAGGCTGAAGTAGCCGTTGCCGAGCCTTCGGAATTAACACAGCACTAATAAGGTTAGCGTCTTTGAAAGCTGTCAAAAATGGTCCCGTTTCATGCGGTTTTCCTTATTTTGTAATGGCACAATTAAAATTCATATTGTAAGCCGGTTCAGATTTGAATGCAATTCAGCTATTATGTGTATCCAAAATGCAATGAGTTAAATATTTAATGAATTGGCTTCTGAAATGTCTGTATTAGGTTTTAATTTAAAAGTGTCGTGGTCTTTAGACGCTGCAGAGGAGCAGCTTTATTTGAAATCGTATTCACGGAGCAGAGGGAAATGACTGGCAAAAAATGATTTCAATGCAGTGCTGAGGAAGTCCGGTTTAAGAAACCACTGAATAGACATCTTGGGCTAAGAGCATTTACAGATCTCAGGTGGCTTCTAACCTGTTTCTATTGTATTGATCGCTGCTCCGGTATTTACAAGGATAATAATGTACGACGGGATTTTCTTCCTACCCTAACGTACCAAATTTCTCGAACGGCCTTCTAGTGTAACCGCGAACGCAGGCAGCCTAATTGACACGGTTTACGGCATACGCTCTTGGGAGATATATTTCTTAAATTTCAGGTTTAGCTGTCTTTGTTGTAAGGAAAATCCTTTCACTATCATTGCTCTAAAAACACATAGAATGAATTAGAAGGAACGTGAGGCTGCAGGAAACAAGCTACCTCCCCAGTAAGCATGAAATCCATTTTGTTTACTGAATCTTGGCTCGGTGTGTTAGCTTTTCTGTAAGATGGAGCGGTCATCAATTTCCCATTAGTGCACAGATGGTGAAAGTGCTCGTCTGATAGCGCGAGACAAGCTCCTCTGCGTTCGGCGGCATAAAATCCCGCTAAACCTCGAGAAAAATCGTTCTGATTCTAAGCAGCTTTTTACAGGCTTGCAGGTTACAGGCATATTTTCTTTCAGTAATCACGATAAACCTAAGACAACGTTAGAAAATGATACACACCTACCTCTTGTCTGAAAGGATGCTGAAAGAGCGCTGTTCTGGTCCCTTTTTTTAATGCAGCCTATGGCAGAGCTAAGATGGAGCTTTCCTACCATTGGCCAGAGCGCGATGCTGCTGACAACTTCCTTTATGCTCATTTGCATCAAACCCTCAACCCCAGGAGTAAATCATTCATAAATTTGACTCTTTCTGTCTCGTCTAAGAACCGAACCCCTTCCCGCCCTCGTTTTCGGGATGCTCTTTGTGCGCGATGAGCTTGTTAGCGGAGAAGCACGACGGTGGCCGTGACCTCGCTTTGCTCTGCGCTGGAAAGCGGCCGGTCAAACCGTGACGTTTGAAGTGTTAATATCTGCAGATTTCCAGCTTTGCCGCGTGCTTAGATTTACTTGGCTACAGCCTGCTGCAGTTCATGACGGGCAGATTAAACGAGATAATCTCCTTGATTCAATTGACAGAACAAATACATGACAAGTCGTCTTAACTATTTGTTCTACCTCTGAATTTATTTTGGTCACTTTAGACCTCTTGTGCCACTTAACGATTTTTTATTTTTTTTTTTAATTATTTATAAAATGTCCTGCATAGACATTCATT